AACTCGATTCTTTTAATTGGTAGTTGTACGCGTTAGCTGGTTGAGCTACAACAGCAGTGTTATGGGTATAGAGTTTATAATGGTAAATGACACCTTACTTAACTTATATATACAGAGTGTGTATTGGAGGTTTGATTTTAACATGGTTTAATGCTAACCTATCATTGGAGGTTCACGGGTTCGAATCTAACCTATCATTTGGAGGTTCATGGCTTCGAATCTAACCTATCATTTCCGGTTATTTAATCCTAACCCTATGCTAGAGGTTCACGGGTTCAATCCTAACTTATGCTATGGGTTTAATCCTAACCTATCATTAGAGGTTCATGCGTTCGAATCTAACCTATGTTAGAGGTTCACGGGTTTGAATCTAACCAACCACTAATGGTATTGTATTATAGTGGGAGGTTTATGGGTTCAACCACAAACGTGTCATTTCCGGTTATCGGGTTTGATCCTAACATATGCTAGAGGTTTATGGGTTTGATGCTAACCTAGCTGGAGAGGTTTACGGGTTCAATCCTAACCTAGTTGGTTTAAAAAAAACACTTTATTCTATATATGTTGTAGTGTATAATGTTTAAGCAGAACCTTACCGTTGAGCATAAATACTGTCAAATGTTGGATGTTATGTGTTTTGAGATGTGTAAAAAATGTGTTTTTGGTATAGTGGGAGTTTAAGAGGTTCATGGGTTTGATCCTTTGTAAAAAAACATTTTATTTTATATATGCTATAGTGTATAATAAATGTTAAACAAACAGATGTTTAAAAACAGCTGAAAGAGGGCTTAACTTTACCACTAAAAGCTACCAAATATAGTATGTTTGACTTTATGCTGAATGAGTTATTTTGGGTTGTTTTTTCTTGTAGTGAGAGGTTCATGGGTTCGATTCCTAGTTGGTTATATGACCTTCATGACCTCGTATTGTATATGCATTCCACCAATTAACATATTCTCACTCTATGTGTATGTATGTTGCTGTTTTCCCGCTAACGGTTTTCGCTAGAACCTTATTTAAGTACATAGGAGCTGTCATCTGATAATGTAACCCTTCCGCCAAATTATATTACCTAGGAGCTGTTATCTGCTTTAGTAACATTACCATACCTATGTACGTAAATTAAGTATTAAATTATGAATAGAAGTGTGTACCTTGATCGGGTATCAAACCTTAATATTTAAGGTAATAGTCAAAGTGTCTTAGCCGTTGAGCTATGATCGCAACTAATAGCTTATGTTATTATGGATGAGGTAACGATTATGGCTGGTAAAAAGTGACCCCATATCCTATGTCTAGGGAAAGATGGCCTCTAACTAGTGGTGTTTAAATGAATGGAAATAGTTAACTAGTGGTATCTACAAGAAATAATGTGCAGTCCATGTATCCTGTTATCCCAAAGGAAAGATAACACAACCGAGGAAAACGTTGTGACACAAATATCCTTATCTAACCATATCCTGTGCTGCGATAAGTTACTGGTCACCAAGAAGTTGCTCTCTAATTATGTGTTATAAAATGACACTGGAGCGCTAGTATCAATGAAATATGTCTTAGGCAATTTCTATTGATGTATTGAATAACAAAGCATCTGCAGATCACCTGACAAAAATTATTCTATAGTAATGAATGTATATACTAACATACTTGTAACTATCTAACTGAAGATTCACTATAATGGATTACACCAACATTAGATATGCAAGTGATGTCCGGAGTAGCTTTTATTGACTTTTTTTATGAAAATAATATTTATGCACTACCTCAACTTTTAACTTCTGGGCACACTTAGAGAAATAACCATGTAATAAGACAATAGTTAAATTACCTATGTCTAATGGTTGAGTAATCTTTTATAGGAATTTGATGAAATATATCTTCAGTACTTGAACTTATGAGCTGGTAGATATTATATTAACAAAACAAATAACTGTTTGGTACCTAGGTATAATTTAATAGAACACGTGTGTCATGTATATTATGGGTTGGAACGTTTTGATGTAGCTGAAAATCTTGTTTGTTGCATCATTATAACAAGCTTAGTATACTTTTGTGAAGTGTTTAACATAATAATATATATTTCTATAATGAGGGTGAGCATTGTATCCGTCTATGTTGTCATATCTCATCTCCTTGTGTAGAAGAAATTTTAGTCACTTTAAAAAAAATAATTAATCCACTAGAAACAAATCTGTAAAACAATTTAGTTTTGATAGGGACTGTGGAAAAATTAATGTCCATTTAAATATAACTAAATGTAGCATTTTTATGTGGAGAAGTATATTGTCATCCTTGTGGTAATAAATAGCAACAACTATACATGTACTCAAAGTTACTGATGAAAATTTATTTATGTTAGGTTTCTATTCCCCATAAGAGCCCATGTTAATGTGTTGACCCCAACTACTCATATCCTCTGCCACGGTATGTATGCATGTAATAGTTATTTATGATTATTCAGCTTTGTAGTGAGTGGAGACCAAACACACACACATTATCACACGATGTCCTTACCGGAAGCTTGATAACCGCTATGATGCAAATACCCCCACTTAGTATTATTAAGCAGCATGTTGAAAGACATGTTTGACATACTGCTATACAATAATATATCCAAACTATATATATAGCACCTAAACAAGCAATGTTTTTAATGCTTTTTGTTATTGTTTAGTTCAAATTAACTGTTGTAATAAATGTAAAAAATAATTATTTGTGTAGGTAACCCTTTTTAAACAACTGAACATATAGAAGCAACTTGTGTTGTTGAAACAGCTGGAAAACTCTTTAATCTATAAAATGGGAACTATGTTATGGACTCCAAAACAGAATGTATGAATCATTCAGGCATTATTTAAGGATGGTTTATGTAGATTTGTCAAGAGGGCTCTAATGTCGGACTTTAGTAACTACAAGGTTTATAAATAATTTAAAGGAGATGTTTACTTTCACCATATGTTTTGTAGGTTTGAATAATTGCATCATTCTGTAATAGTTATGATTTGAAATAGTGTTACAATGTTTCTACAGTATAAAACTATTTTACTTCTGGTTAAGTACAACTGCAGCACACTTGTGCACTTAACAAAGCTTAAATCCTCTATTATTAATGTAAAAATAAGATGTAAAAACCCTTATCAAAGTGATGGAATTGCTTTAATATTTGTTCTATACCCACACAACTTAATGTAAACTATTAAGTGAATAATAACTGTGTGTGCTACCTCAGGTATTCAAATGCCTCTCAATATGTCATTAACCTACTGTGGTAGGTTTACTACCATTAAAAGAAGGAATTTCAATTATGTGAAACTTAAACCCGCCGAAGCTGTGCAACGTTACTAGACTAACAATTTAAAAAATGTCACCAAAATTGATTGAAGCTAAAACTATCAGTGGTAAGTTTAAAGGAGAAAAAGTCTTCAGTAAATAATATATTTTATTTTTTGAATCGTAGTTTCAAGTGACTGATACATAAAAGGTGCTAATCTGAAATAAACTTGAAAAATCTGTTTAATCCACAGACAATCAAGTAAAATAAATATTCTATTTCTGTTTTTGTTATACATTTCTATTATTTAATGTAATTAACAAATTACCGATTAAAATAATAATTGTTCAGCGCAGCAACAGGGTAACTGCTAGTTTCTTTTAAACATGAATATTGATAGCCTAAGTCCAACATGGGGGCTATAGAGCCGTTTGGGAAAGGATTTCTGTGATAAGAATATCAGGAATGTGAGCTATTATCATACAAAAATTTAACCCAATTTAACCTCCAAACATACAAACTTACACATTTATTAGTACAATCTCTAGAGATTACTATGGTCATGATATATTTAAACTAGTGGAAACTTTAAAAGTGGTTTAAACAAGCATCAGATATTTGTAAAATAAATCACATTACTCTTTTTATGACTTTAAAATGTCAAAATGCCTGCTAGACAGGACCTGATTGAATATGGGATCATGTTTATCACCAAACCCAACATATAACCCACCTTAACAATAAACATAAATATGAATAGTTGTAAAAGCTCACACGAATTGCCATAGGTAAACTGTTTGTCATACAAGTATTCCAGGAATTAAGATCTCCGTTACAGCTGTAGGTTTAGAAAGTAACCCTAATTCCCTACAACAATTGCTTTGAACACAGTTTTATAGTTTGTTGTAGATGATAGTGAATAAATACTTAAGCTCCTCTGATGTGAACGATTTTATATGACACGAATCCGCAGTTAAAACTTTAGTGTCTATACCAACACACACCTTCACCTTCAATAACACCTTTTAATAGTGTGAAAGGTTTAAACAACTAAAAAATATTAACATAACTATACCATAGGTCCTTATAAATACCTATCCTTATAAATAGCTATTATAATGAAAAAAAAACTAGACTCAATTCTACTCACATTCTAGAAGTTGACTAGGTTTATTTTATGATTTCAATGTCATACAACTTTGATGTATGGTCAAAATTATCTTAGTAAACCTAATTTTATTCTAACAACTCTGATTAAATATATTACAGCAATTTTCAATAGTTCTCATCTACGATAATGTAAAAAACCAAATTATTCTTTTTATATTAACACCTTAACCTCCTGCATAGTACGACCCATTGTTAATTGTGTAAAATTGATTCTTGATACTATGAGAGGAATATGTATGAAAATTCTCAACTTCTAGGTACTATGATTTTACACGTATGTTGATTGGAATTTAGCATTTATATATCTAGTACTACATTGTAAATTATGTAGATCCCAAATATGATTTTAGTTTCTTAATTAAAAATCCGTATAAAAGTTAGAAAATTCATGTTTTAATTGATCATGTTCTACAGTGTTGTAAAAACTATGGAGATAACAACGTGCCCCACCCCTTCCTCTCAGGCTTGAGAAGCCTGTTGCGGTTGTAGTTAGTTCAGTTTAGACGTTTTGGTATGCTCAGGCTGCATTCAGTGTAGCTTCTGTCTTCTTCCTTGGATACTGGTATTGTTGCTTAAATTGTATCTTGCCTTGGACAAATATTTTAACTTTGTTGTGGTTATCTGATATTTTGGTTATTTAACATTACTAGTGAGGATACATTAATAAATAGTTATTCTTGGTCAACGTTTAAGTTCAGCTTTCTCTTTGGGCCAGTTATTTGAAACACCAGCGAGGAAAATACATCTGGGATCCAATAGGTAAGTCATTAATTAAACCTACGAATTAGATTACACATTTACAAAGTTGGGCTATAGTACCTCTAAAAGAAAAAAACAATAATGTGAATAATTAATAAATTTAACTTCTTGGGTTTAAACTATCATGCAAACAGCTGATTGCTGTAAATATTCTAAGATTATAGCATATAGTAGGCCTATTACAGATACTAACTGTTGTTACCCAATGACACCTGAGTTTATTAAGTTGAGTACAGCTGAGGTATTTTTAACATTTTGTATATGCAATTAAAGAAATCACGACTTTACACGGCCTTAATGGGTAGTTTTGCACAAGGTTTCGAAATTTAATTATAAGGGTGTGGCTCTTACAAAAGTCCATGGGTACTTTAGGATTTATCTAGAAATCAGCCTATAACGTCTACAAACAATCAACAGGGTTTTTTATTAATTACTTGGAATAATGGGTAAAAGTTTAAAAATGTTGCTATGCTCTTTTGTTAACACAGTCATTGATAAATATATTGTATTGATTTTTAGGAAATGGTCTTTGTTATAATTAACAAGCTTAGAGTTTAATGCTCTTTAATGTGATTGACAGATGGAAACTCTATGACAGAGTCAGCGAGCATCAGTGGCAGAGGTTTACAGCTGAGTCAAAGGCAGAGGTCTACGACAGAGGTCTACGGCGGAGGTCTACGGTTGCACACCTGAAGTTAAGCAGCTCACGAGCCGAAGGACTGGTAAGTGTTTTATTCCACAGTAGACTTTAGATGCATCTTAATTGTTATCACCCACATAGATAAAACATTGAACACCAACAACTGACCTTTAACTAAAAAGCTTAAAAATACCATTTAAACCACCGATATATGTTCGCTTTAGGTGTCCAAACACTTTTATTTAGCGTTGATATATAATATAACCAAGGAGTTCAAAAACCACTTATCCTGTAGAAAAAAAGGAGATGTGTAAAGAGTCTGTCCATGTATTCAAAATATCGCTTAACATAAAACCAATCGTTATTTTACTCATTTGATAAAATATTACTTTACTCCAACACATTAAAAAGAAATAAATTTATCAACTTATAAAAAAGAGAATTACATAAATGGTCTTGATTACTAAATTGAACTACATACTTATGTAACCAATTAAGTTAGGACTGAAATGAGATGTAAAGTGAACAGGTAGCTTTTACCAAACGTAGGTAGGTGGTTGTTATATGGTTCATTTCTAAATGCTGTCATTAGGCCGATTCCGTACAAACTAACGTTAAAATGTATGTTTAGACAACATGTATCAACATTTTAATAGCTAAGAAAATTAAAAAAGTAAAGCATATTTCATACAATCATTTAACTGACTGCAGTACGGCAAAATGATATGTATTATGCAATACAAATAATTTTCCTAACATTTTTTGTAGAAACTTGTTTGAATATATAAACTGCATACAGTAAAAATCTATCTAGTACTGATAATTTTAAATATCATCCTTAAGTGTTAGCTCTTGTATAACAAACAACATTTAATCAGGAAAATGCAAACCATTGGTTATAAGACACAATGTAAATACAAGCAGTGGATCTTTTGTTTGGAAAAAAATAATTACCAGTCCTTTTATTGCGTGTACTGTAACTAGATTAAAATTTTTAGTGAAATTATTAAGAGAAAACTTGACAAAATAGCGTAGAATTGGATTATTTGCAAATTAGGAAAAATTAATCACACTGTTAAAATTGATTTTGCTTTTTTCCGCCATCAAACTTACGTGAGCTTGCCTAATACAAAAGTTTACTTTATTGAAATTATTTCATTCTTTTTAGAGCGTTTGAAGTCGGTTGTATTTTTTTTACAAAAATAAATTATTGAAAGTTGTATTCTCTTAGACTTGGTGTCTCATTTGTGCCGTCAGCTGTCTAATAAACTGCAGTTCCATCATAATACAGTACAGAGCTTAATGCTGAAATCAAGTACATAAGCAACAATTCCGTTATGAGATAGGATATTTATTTACTGTAACGTTTTGTAGAGTTTAGCATATTTTTCTCATCGCCGAGCATGAGAGCGGAAATGCTGGGATTTCTTAGAAAGCAGCGGCTACAAGCCTGAATAAAACCTACGCAAAACAGACTCAAAGCAGTACAGCGTTCTTGTCACTTTAATGTTATAAGTAAAGTATGGTATTTCACAGTAACATTGTACTTTTCTAGTGACATTATGTTGGAATGGCGACCATATGAATGTAGGTATTTAGAGATGAGTGTAGGGTTAATTAATATTTTGAATCAAGAACTATAATAAGCATAACTACACCCCAATAGTGATAAACATTTACACTATTGTTTTTGGTGTTAAATATATGGTAAAGATCATGTCTGTGAATTTAAGCCTACACAGTAATTATACCATTAGTCATGACAAACATAAGTACAAACCGGAAACACTTAACTGGAAGGTACATCTGACATAGAGTAATATTGGTGTCTTATCGTACAATTATTACGTAGCCACATGTATCGTGGAAGTAGTTTAGTCATTACGTTGGAGTGTCAGGTAATTGATTAACAGTTTTTACATATTTACAGTATAAGTTGAATATCGGTAGTTTTTGTGTCATAAAAGAGGCGTTTTTTATTTATTCAAAGTATGTTGAACTTTGATAACAGTAAAAAGAGCTTACATGTGACTTCAAGTGTATCTATTTCATGTCAATCTAAAAGACATCTCCATTAAAACTATTACTTAACATTAAGTTTTTTTTCAACACAGTGTCAACTTAAAAGAGTCGTAGACAATAGGTATTGCATTACATTCATAGCTAGGAGCAATATGGAACATTTGGGTAGAGATTGCTATAAGAAAACATGTTTACAATAGTCTTCACAACTATTATGGTAGACGGGTTAAAAGCCCACCTATTAAAACCTGGAATAAACTATTAATTGTAGCTTAGACAAAGTACATAAATAAATAGCTTTTGGTATTTAATTTTGGGTTATTTGCTGATACAAACATATTTTTACCAGACTCAGAATGGATATAGGGTTATTGAAAATGCCTAATAGCTAGAATTTAATCAATAAAAAAACATGTTTCCAAAAATCAGACACCGAAGGCAATGATGACGTTTTTGCGAGCGCGGGAGACTACGTTTTCGTGACTGTAAAAGACGATGTTTTTATGATAACTATACTATCTCACATATTATTATGCGCATACAAATTTCTAGATAAATCTACAATATTTAGCTATCATCGTTGTACTACAGTAATATGTTATTGGTGATCGGTAATTTAAATGTAGGTTTTTAATTAACTACCGATACATGTATAAATATTTGACTTAGAAAACATGTTCAAATACAGAGCAAGAAAGTGATGTAATTTAAGGACTGTGCAACAGTATCTACAGGAAATGAGATAGCAGTATCTAATGACCGCCAAACACACTCAAACTATTTCACCGTCTATAATGACAAAACATTCTATGAACTATGTAGTATTTTTATAGTTGGTATAAATAACACTCTAATATTTGATTAGGGTTATTGACAATTATGGTGCATATATACATACAGCCTGGAAAGAACTACTGTATTGTGGGGCGTTCAGATTAGTGAATGTTTGTATTATGGGGATTGACATAGCTCTTGGGTCGAGCTTTTTATTTAAATGAAGGTTCTTAGTACTTGAATTACATTGAATTGTTTAAATTTTCTTTTTAGTGTAGTCAATGTGACCATACTCATTAAGCAGCATGCATTCATTTTGGATGCAAACTAATTGAGCTCTCTCTCTTCCTACAATATTCAATTATCTTAATTTTTATGTACAAATAGCTTTGTATGGATGGAATCATGTTGATCTTCTTATAATCGGAACAGTATTTCTTTTGCATTTTAGTGTGTATTTTTCCGGATATGTAGGCTAAACTCTGTATTCCGGTTAAGCTCAAGTACAATTTGATAAACACAGAATCTCCAATTGGCAACCCAAATAATGCATAGAAATTTCATTTATGGTTACACGTTATTGCCATTGTGATTAATTAAACGTAAGAAAAAAATGTTTAATCTTATTTGGGTGTACTTACAAAACATGTTTGGTAACGGTTGCAGTATATATAAACAACATTTGTTTTTTTATTTTTTTACTTTACAATCTGTTCTATTATACATTGAACAATAAGTAAATGCTGTTTAATGTAAAAATATAAGTGACAAAAAAATAAATCCATCCAAACAGATGTTCATTACTTCATAGATCTCCGAACAGATGAGTATTTCATAAATGGTAAATGTTAAGAGAAACTAGAAAAATAGCGCAGAATTGGATTATTTGCAAAGTAGTGGTATCATATTACAATGGATAGAAATTAAGATAACACAAATCGGTTTCTCAATATATCGTAAAAATAACCAAAAAATATATAATTCTGAACAATGTATAGTTAAAACTCTAATTTTTAATACATAATCACACAGGATAAAAATAGATGTTTTAGCGATTTTAAACTATTTCAAGAGCATCTTTAGATTTTAATATCCTAATAACATGCATTTAATTTTAACATAAAATCACATTCCCTTTATAACACCAACTTGTTGGTTGTGTCTTACATAGTGTCATCATTCATGTAACATTTGCGGTTTGAGACATAACTTTTTAAATTTTACATACCCGATTGTTTCTCTAGACTACCTTATCGATCCTTACCAATTACCTTATGTTTTATTTCATCAGGGTAATATTTTGAGTTTTGGTATATCACAGTGGGAGTAGTGTGAGTCCTTGATCTCAGAGGTTTACGGGTTCGATTAATGCCAAACGTTTCATTTCCGGTTGGGGTGATATATTGGTTTTTGGTAAGGTGTTGTATTGCAGTGGTAGTCTTTGATCTCAGAGGTTTACGGGTTCGATCCTTACTAATCACCGATCATTCCTGGTTGAGGTGTTTTTAGTATGGTATTGTATCATAGTTTGAGTCCTTGATCTCAGAGGTTCACGGGTTCAATCCTTACCGATCACCGATAATTTCCGGTTGAGGTGTTTTTAGTATGGTATTGTATCATAGTTTGAGTCCTTGATCTCAGAGGTTCACTGGTTCAATCCTTACCAATCACCGATAATTTCCGGTTGGGGTGTTTGTGGTATGGTATTGTATTATAGTATGAGTCCTTGATCTCAGAGGTTTACGGGTTCGATCCTTACCAATCACCGATCATTTCTGGTTGGGGTGTTTTTAGTATAGTATTATATCGTAGTGTGAGTCCTTGAACCTCAGAGGTTTACAAGTTCGATCCTTACCAATCACCGATAATTTCTGGTTGGGGTGTTTTTAGTATGGTATTGTATCATAGTGTGAGTCCTTGATCTCAGAGGTTCACGGGTTCAATCCATACCAAACGTTTCATTTCCGGTGTTTTTTTTGTATGATGTTGTACTATAGTCTCTTGTTTGTGTATGGAAGTTTGATCCCAGAGGTTTGAGGGTCCGAATCTTACCAATCACCAATCATTTCGGGTTGGGGTGTTTTTAGTATGGTATTATATCATAGTGTGAGTCCTTCATCTTAGAGGTTTGCAGGTTCGATCCTTACTAGCTACAATTTGTATTATATCAAGTTGTAGTGATTTTTAGTGTTGTATAGTAGTGATATGTTTGTATATGAGACTAGGGTTGCAGATTCAAATCTTCTAATTTCTGATCAAGTTAATATTTTATGTGGTATAAAATAAGGAGCTTAACGAGTAATTTAGATCTGTTACATCTGGTATAGTTCTTTAATGGTGGAAATGATGTATTCTTACACCTGTTTCAGCTTTATATTGGATAGGGTTTGAGACTATCCCCTCATTAAGTGAGGCCAGGTTAAGCGTTTATAGCCAATCCAGATGACCTGGTAGATGCTTTAAACGCCCTCTCCCTTATTTATAAAGCTTTTTTTTGTCAAGTCTATAGATTTAGTTATATAACCCTGCCAAGAAAGTTAACATTCAAGGTTTACAGGCTTTTTAGTCAGCCGTGCCAGTGACCTTCACTCATGGTTTACGGGCTGTTTAGTTGGCCGCGCCAGTGACCAATAACATTCACACAATTACAAAGAGGGGCACAGGTTATATCCAATCTGAACCCCCCAGTGTACACACATTCACACAAGTACAAGGAGTAGCACAGGTTCTTCTAAATCTGAACTACTCAATGTACACACACTCACACCTTGGTCAGGTTACATAAGTATATATCTATAGACTTGTTTTTTTAATAGGAGAGTTATATACAATAATATACAGTGAAAATTACAAAGTTATTTACAACAAAGTTTACATTTACAATTTACAATACAATTTACATGTCTCTTTGGACTTTTCTGTAGCCAAAAGGTAGAGTGTCGTATTGACCTTCGTACCTTCTTTTAGGCCCAGTTATTTTAAACACTTTGCTCTCAGTGATGGTGACGATGTCTCTGTCTCTAGTCCTTCTGATTCTACTTTCTTCAATTTCAACAGACTGTTTTGCTTCACTCAGAACCATCTCTTTTAATTTTTCAAAATTTACAATTTTTGATGTTTTAAAGTTAAGGGTGAGGCCCTTGATTTTACATATAGGGATCAATTTTTGTTGATTGGTTGACCAGACAAGGTACGCGTAAGTTTTAGGCCCCCCAGAGACAAACTCGGTAATATAAGAGCCTGGCCCATAATCTACCAATTCGTTAGTCATTTCACCGAGGTAATCTCCTGTAGACACCCTATAAAGACCGTTTCCATGTATGTAAACCACACTGTCAGTATCATAATATAATACTTGAGCTCCTAGGGCCTCAAGGTGTTCATAGAGCTTGAGTCTCGCCTGCGAGGTAGTGTAGGCCGCGATACAAACGTTTATGTTACTAAGAGGTTCACCTACCTCCATCAGGTATTCCCATGACACGACCACAACCTCATCATTAACAATCTGAATTCTGTTTACTTTAATTTCTGGGCTAGAGAGCATTTGAAATAATGTTTTCGAGTCCCTAACAATAGTAGCTTTAGTTTGATTCTCTCTCTGACCAAATTTTCCCCAAAAACTATTTAACATTAATTTTGCCAAAGATCTCAAACCCCCATTCTTAACAATTTTATCTTTTTCCAACATGATTCCCTCGTGCCCCAAATACTCTGCAATATACTTATTTTTGTCCTCCTCAGTTTTGCACCATTCCGGATAGCCCGAAGCTTCCTGTTTCATCTTAAGAAATTTATTAATAAAATCAGTGAACAAACCCCCATTTTCATAAGTCGCTACCTTGTACTCCCACAACTCATACATGTCCAATACAATGTACCCTTTCTCTACTGCCTTTCTAATCTCGTCCATAGTCCATGTCCCAACTAATGCCCTATTATCACTGTCATGATTACATTCTCCCTGATACATCATTTCCCCACATGTTCTGCACAACACAAACATTAATTTATCATTCATTTTTGTAGGGAGTACAGGGTGGTAGAGTTCAAGAGGCGGCAATACTTTACATTTTAACAAACCCTCTACACCCATACCTCTTTCACGACACTCCCTATCTCCTACATAGATGGTTGGGTGACCTATAGGGTACTTCCCATACTTACAAACATAAGGGTACAGAGAACAAACATCAACATACTGTATAGTTTCCCCCTCAGCGCATTTGTGATAGGATTTTGCATTACCTGTCCTACCTCCAAAGAAAGCCTGCCTCGGGTCAAGTGGGAGATTGTTTAAAATAGGCAAACTGTCCAGATAGTTTAGTTTCTGCTCTTTTTTTTGTTTACGAAATTCGCATTCCCACATCTCTACTAGTGCGTGTTCTGTAAACTTTGCGTTTTTACCTTTGGTTCGCTCATAGCGAAGATGTAGGCTATCAGAAGGATCCTCTTTTAAGGGGGCGTGACGGTTGTAAGAAAAGCATTTAGGACACCCATGGAAATAACAGCCATGAAATTCGTAGATGTTTCTGCCATCGAACCCATCTACTTTCATTCCATTGACTTTGACTTCTTTACCTCGACCTGCATGGTCAATCCTAATCCCGTTGGTTTCCTCGACCCAAGAAAGCCACTGGAGCGCTATATTTGATTGATTATCTACTAATCGATAGCCGTTCTTAGGGATAAGGCCAATAGTATTGGGTTTTAGGAAGTTTCGGCGAAAAGCTAGATTGCAAGCACTAGCAATGGTAACAGCCTCGAGAAACGGGTCAACATTACACTCTTTTAGGAAAATTGAGCGAAACTTTAGACAGGCTTGAGCCAAGATATCAACGTCTGAAATACAGTAGGCTAGGATCTCATTTTTGAAGTTGAACTCATAGTTACTAGTAATCTGGTCACTGTACCATTTTTCAAAGTCATTGTGGGATTTCTCAAACATAGATTCGGGACAGTAGTACTTTTTGTCTGGCAAAGGGCCTACATAGTCTTGGTTCACCAGAGTGTTGAAAAGATGGGGAAAGTAGCCTTTCTTTTTCTCTGGAGGTAGGTCAAAGGCTTTAGGCAGAGCAGACAGAGCCATAGGGAAGTAGCTAAGTGAGTCGACAAACCTCACATTGTCAATCTCCATCAAGATAATTTTAGTTCCCCGCATTACAAGTTCCGGCGTGAATTTAGTTTCCTCCAGCAAGTACTTTAACAAAAATTGAAAGTCAAACCCCTGTCCATTGTGTGCAATTACACAGACTTTTTTAAACTGTTTCCTCACATACATGACATAGTTCATAAATTGTTTGATAGGGTCAGAGTCAAACACTCGTGTACGATTTTTACATGCAATACAGAATTTTCCCTCAATACACTGGTAACAAAATTGCTGGGACACACACAAGTTTACTTTATGCAATTTACTTTCAGGGTCAGAGGGAAGGGACTCATCCTGGCGGGTTTCCAAGTCAAAGAAAATAAAAGCATAATCTTTAGATTTAGGTTTTCCCTCATTGGGTTTCATGTAACATTTATGGTTAGGGTCTTTAAATGCTCCACAAGGTTTACAAAATACTTCCCCACACTTGTGAGGCTTGGACCTCTCTCTAAGCCAAACTAGTTTTCCACAGTCAAGACATTTCTTTACATTTTTACATTTGTCAGCTTGGTGTGCAATAAAACAGCGCTGGTTTTTGTAAATTAGATTGCATTTAGGACACAAAATTCCCCCATTCTCCTCTACACAAGGAGGTGAGATAGTCTGACACTGCGAGCAAATGTTTGAACATCTGTGGGCTCCTTTGTGATCATACGGGATGTGGCAAGCGTCACAAAAATAGTTACATACAAAAGCAGCCGTCAGACTAGTAATTACATTAAAATGTCCATTGTAAAACAATAAGTTAATTTTAAACTTGGGGTTCTCTATACTACCCTCAAAATACACATCACGGCCTTTAACATTATAGTTGTACACAGTGATTTTATAATCTTTAAGCAAATGTTGGAATTTTTCAAGTTCGGGAATGCCTGCACCACCCTCAGGCATCACAACTCTAGCTCTACGTACAAGTTCTTGAGCCCTAACAGTCTGTCTTTTTCTGTCATCTTGTTTCACAGCTTTGTATTCTGGATCTTTAGTTACATTAGCTATAGCCACTACAATAGCACGAGGAAGACACAAGTTATCTTTATTGTTAATTACAACAACCCCTCTCCTAGCTTTACATTCTTCATCAAAGGTGTTGTACAAGCCAGGTCTTTTGCGGCACCCTGAACCTACAGGGAGATTAACTCGGGTACATTCAACTTGAAACGTGTCTGTGGACTTGATAGATTCAGCATTTGATTGCACAATTCCCCCAAAGATTTGCCACAAGACATCCTCGTTTACTTCATTTGCTGGTCGAAAAGCAACAAACCCTGGCTCTTTACTTTTTAGGTTAAGTGAACGCAGAGTGAATCCCAATTGATCGCCCTCCTGACAAACTTCTTTCATTTCATTAACAATTTGACCAAACCCTTGTCTTAGCCAGTCAATCTCACTAGTTTCTGATGGGGGGTTAGAAAACTTAAAAACTGTATTAATTCCATGAATGCGAAATCTCTTTACATAATTTTCATGTTTATCTAGAATATTTACAGGGACAATTACTTCAACAGAATCTTCTACAACATTTACAGGTTCATTACTATCGACAGATTCATTGGAATCTACTGGAGCAGAGTTACTTACATCCGTCATCTTGAAGCACTGGGAGCAAAGTGATGCAATAATGGCAGGGTTCCGATAAGGGTTTATATAGGAACAAGAATGACCACAAATGTGGTTATCAAAGGTGACGTGGTACACAAGAGGAAGTGATAGCTGTTATTTTAGATGATGCAATACCACAAAAGTGGTTATCAAAGGTGGTTATCCGGTTGTGACGTGGTACACAGGAAGTAATAGTTGCTGTTTTGGATGATGCAATACCATATAGGATGTAGACATTGTTCTAATTATATTTAATATTATATACTATATAATCATTATATACTAATTATGTTTATTGTTTGTTTCAGATGGTTGCCCCTCTCCTCCTCCTCTACTAGCATTAAGTATTTAGTTGTAGGATTATGTATATATATAAGTAGTGTATAAATAAATTCATATTTAGCTTTCACAGTTGTTTTCATTATTCTTTCAACTGAATATCCAACAGGTTTTAAAATTACATCATCTAATAGGGGAAGCAGTCCGCCAGCTAAAACAGCCGGCAAGAAAATTGGCGGGTAAGCAGATAATACAATACATAAAGTGAGGTTATGTTACATACACAATATAATCAGTAGTTGGTAGCACTAGTGCTTGCTGCAACCTAGTAGAGAATTTGTAAACTAATACCTCAACTCAGAGTAATCTGTTATGATGAATCTTATATTAAGTTAATCATTATTATAATAATACCATCGACACTAGCGCTCCAGTAGTAATAGGTAAAAAGTGAGGTTATGTTACATATACAAGAGATCAAACCTTCAGAACTCATATACAAACAGTTAACTATACAAAAAAAAAACACCTCAACCGGAAATGATCAGTGATTGGTAAGGATTAAACCCGTGAACCTCTAAGATTCACACTACAATACAATACTATACAAAAAACAATCCAACCCTAAGTAACACATTAAAATCAATTAGATGTAAGTTTAACATAATATATCTGGTGGCCTTTACAAAGGCCATTTTTTATACTCTATGGTAAAGTTAAGCCCTCTTTCAGCTATTTTATATTTATTATACACAATAGCATGCCAACCTCCAATACTACTACACATTTAGTATAATTGTCTTTTATGATCAACGGTAAAGTTTAAGCATTATACACTATATATAGAATAAAATGTTTTTTTCCAAACCAGCTAGGTTAGGTTTGAACCCGTGAACCTCACACTACCCCCACTACCATAAATATCACCCAGCCCGGAAGTGATAAGTCAGGATTGAACCCGTGAACCTCTAAACCAAGACAGGATCAAACCCATAAACCTCTAACTAATAGGTTAGAATTGAACCCGTGAACCTCCAATGACACATTTGATGATTAGTAGGAATTGAACCCATGAACCTCTAAATAATAGGTTAGAGTCAAACCTCACACTACCAAAATAACCCACAGACCTCCAACCAGTATTTACACACTCTGTATATGTAAGTTACAGAGATACACATATACAAATTATAAAATCAACATAACATACTCAACGGTAAAGTTCCACATATATACACTATATATAGAATAAAGTGATTTTTTTCCAGACCTACTAGGATAGGATTGAACCCATAGACCTCTAAACCAGGTGACGTCAGCTAATCAGCTAAAATAAACAGCTGTGGTTAGATTACATCCGGCATTGAACCCGTGAACCTCTAATGTTAGGTTAGAATCAAACCCGTGAACCTCCAATAATAGGTTAGGATTGAACCCGTGAACCTCTAAACCAAAACAGGATCAAACCCATAAACCTCCTATAATATATTTTATGTTAGGTTAGATTCAAACCCGTGAACCTCCAAACCAGATTGAAATTTACACACCCTGTATATATATATATATATATTGTATAGATACATAAGTTAAGGTATCATATACTGATATAAACTCTATACCCATAAACCCTTGAACCTCCAAACCAGATTGAAATTTACACACCCTGTAAATATATATATTGTATAGATACATAAGTTAAGGTATCATATACCGATATAAACTCTATACCCATAACTGCTGTTGTAGCTCAAGAAATAAAGATTCCAGACACCATCCAAGAGCCCAGGGTTCGATACCCGGTCAAGTCAACACTTTTTATCCATAATTTAATATTTAATTTAATATAAACACCTACTGACATCAGCTGAGTTAAACGTGGTTAGATTACATCCGGCTGAGAGTACCCTATCTACACCTAGATCATCTCAAGGTCAATTTCTGCCCAATCGCTGCAGATCCTACTCACATTGTTTTGAATCTTGAAATAATTACCAGAAATGATAAAATAATTATTTCACAAACAGATTAGTAGGCTTCTTTATTAATTCCAAAGTCTTAACTAAACATTTAAACAATTAAATTAATTCAATACAAAATATTTTAACATGTGGTAAAACAAAACACAGTAGTTTAGAAAAAATATAACAGTCAGATCAAAAGGAAAATCAATGAAGTGAAAACATATTCTATAAAGTTCACAACATCCTCCCCCCATTTAAAATTGCTAAATTTAAATCAGTAAAATCGCTGGGGCACTTTTACTTCTCTTCCACATCTGGTTTTCTTCTTAGCGAAATCAAAGACTTCGTTTTCAACTACTTCTTCTTCTTCAAGTGGTTTATTTTCTTTCATACACTTCTTTTCACAAGCTGTGATTTTTAATGGGAAAAGTCTTTGTAGTGGTCTTCTTAATTTGTTTATATAACACACTCTTTTATTCAAACTTAGACACTCAATTTCCTCCAAATCGGGTAATTCAACTGTTGATGTTGGTTGTAAGAATAAGGCTGGGGTTAATGGTTGTAAACAGTCATCATCATTCGAAAGATAAGTCAAAGGTCTTGAATTTACAGTTGCTTCACAATCACACAAAATTGTTGAGAGTTCTTCCTGCGTGACTGAAGAATTTCCCAAGCTGCGTCGTAAAATTTCCTTTACGACTCCAATAAGTCGCTCCCACCACAAAAATCTTAAAGCGTCTCGGTCACTTTTTGTTGAACTTTGCAACAAGAAAGCTTTCTTAATATCTGAAATAACGCCGATTGGGTGTTTTTTAAACTTCATTAGAAGAGCTGGAATTAGTTCTATTAAATTAGGTCCCTTTTCCAAACAAGAGTTAAGAGAATTCCCCCTACTATCGACAGCAGAAGCATCAAAGACTGGTCGAACCTTAGTAGTCAAACTGGATTCTTTGACCACAGCATGATGAGGTAAGTAGTGTATAGGTCTATCAGTTACAGAGGACTCAACAACCCTTTCAATAATGTTTGAATTTAACCACTCTGAAAATACCTGATCATACTCATTGAACTTTTCTAACTTAATCAACTTCTTGGTCGCTGCATGTAGTCGCTTCTCGGCTGTAACTTTGTTGTCCATAAGCTCTGGATGGCCTTCAGTCCATGGAAGAGTCACCTCGTACCTATTTTCACTATTTACTACAATAGTTTTGTTAAAATGCTCCAAGACATCTGATGCATTCGCCTCCTTTGTTTTACTACCTGATGGATCAGTGATGCCCAAAACATCTAAACGCCATAGATCTGAAATGTCCATTTTAGCAAAGCAACTAATGCTAATAAGTGACTGGTAACTTTTTCCACATTGTCCCATTACTGTCCATCCTAACACAGTCTGAACAGCAACCAGAGTGTGATCTAGCTGTTCAATTTTACCTGTGAGAAGTTGGCCCAAGATATCAGCTCCTAGTAGTAACTCTATTTCTTCTGCTGCATCTTGTCCAATATCTGAAAGGTATATATTCTTCTTCTTTAAAATAGGAAAATACCTTTTTGTATCTAATCTGGGTATGTAATTGCAAATCTTATCTTGATCAAGCACATTAACTGAAATGCCGAATTTACCCTTTGTGTCACGTAGCTCTACTTGGTAAAGATTATGTGGAGTCTCTTTGGTTTTAATACCTCCAAACAAACCATGAACTATGAATTCCTCACCGGATTCTATTAATTTAAGTTTCTCTACACAGTCCTTTGAGATATAAGACCTTTGAGATCCAGAATCCAACAATGCTCTTAGTAGTAAAGATTGGTCAGGTCCTATTACTTTTACTAGAAGAGTTTGTAATAAGGTTTCCTTATTTTGATTTTCAATCAAGGACTCAGACTTGTCATTAATTTGCACACTTTCAATGAAATTTGATTTGTTATAATCATGAGTATTACTGTGCACCATTTTCTCTAAACTAGGACACATTAAGCAGTAGTGTTTCCTTTTACAGATAGCACAGGATACAAACACTTTACATTTATTACTGCTGTGACCTAACTTTAAACATGAGAAACGAGCTCCCTTTTTTATTACAAACTCTCTTTTTTCTTTCAAAGTGAGCTTTTGTAACCCAGAACAGTCTTGAGTTTTGTGACTTCCTTTTTTACAAAATAAGTATGTAGGCTTACTCACCACTGAAGAGCTGTCTGTAGCAACTATTGTAGATGCTGTAGGTAGCCCTTTCTCAAACTCACTTTTCAAACCAGGACGTTGGTGACGGTAAGATCTCTTCTGTGGTTGGGACTCACTTGGTGCAGTGTCTCTGTCGACTGTAAAGCTGTTCCGAGCAAGAGCTAAACGTTCTTCGCTTTCGACCTCGGAACGTACAAAATTCAACAACAACTGTAAATAATTTGAATTAGATGACTCGTTACCATTAAATTCACCTAAGCCTATTTTCTTCGTTGTTCTGTACCGCTCCCATGCTCTGAGAGTATCAGTTGGTAGAGCAGATTCAACCAGTGGGTATAGCATGGCAGCATACCTATCTGATGTGACCCCGAGTGTTTCTAGGGCACGAAGTTGAGTCTCAAGTTTATCAGAAAGGGTTGAAAGTGGCATCTTACTTTGTTTGTTGGCTTGTTTCAAAACTAAATTTAGTAATTCTCTTACATAAACTTCAATCAAAAGTTCATCACGTGCAAACCTGGATTTCAATTGTTCAATAGCCTTGATGTAATTTTCACCAGAAGGAGGAAAAAAATCTATTAATTCCCTAGCTGATGAACCAGGTTTCAAGGATTGAATTAAATATTGGAATTTGTCTTCAGGTTTAATTTCACTATCTTCATGAATCTTTTTGTACTGACCCCAAAAACCCAATCCAATTCCTAACATCCCCATCAAATGAAGGTAATTGCAATTTAGGCAAATGAAAGTTACGGTTTGGTCTGTAAATGTTTGACTCACCATTGTTGGTAGGTGTTTTAAGAAACATTTCATACTTAGCCTTCATCAGGTACCATTTCTTCTTGTATTCTTCTTGTGTGTCCAGTTCATTGTCCAGATCAGCATCAGAAGCATCTTTTATCAGCATTTCATCAGAGATGTTTCCATCCATTTCCATTACTGCTGTTATTTTGTCTTCAAT